TAAGGCGATACGACATTTTCAACAGGTATCATAAAATTCATAATTTATATAGCATATCGAAAAACCTTGACTTTCTCTTTAAATTGTGAATAAAGTTTTTTGAAAGCTGAATTTTTTTAAGTGAACTTTTTGTCCCTTTGTTCTTTGTGTAATTACTAAGATATATATAAATGAATTACTATGACGAATAACGATTGATTTAGTTACATCTATTACCCACATGTAAACACAAAGTAAAACGCAAGGGATCGTTATGGGTACAATTCTGTTATCAACAAAACAATATCAAAATAGAATGTTCCAGAACGTAAAATCTCACAGAACAATGAGCAGATAGAACTGACAGTATCACGTCTTATTATTTAGTCCAATTATGTGTTGGCAACTTCAAAACAAGTCGAGAATCTGTCGGCTAGACAGTGATTTACGAGGGATGCGTTTTCGGTTGCGCATATTAATTACGTCGGCCGAGCGATAACCGTTTGATAACATTGCTAATTATAAAATCGTTTATTACTTAACAATCACTTAGTTAAACGTAGTCAATATTTTGTATGTTTGTAAGGTTGGGAACAAAATAAGTCTTACGGATTCATCACAATAATAATGTAGTATTATAAGAATAAGCAAGGATTAAGCCCATGAATATCTGAGAAAATGCAACGAGTAACTACACATTTTAATATTTTATATTGTGTTTGTCATGTTGTTAAATATGATTTTGGTAATAAAAAGTCGTGTGCACGAATCTTGCGATGTAGAGAGTAAAGCTGGGTCGTTGAACTTTCAAATGATGTTCGTTGCATTATCGCGGCAGAGCACAGCTGATACCAAACTAGAAACATCTCACGCCCACAACACATCGTATAAAAAACCTATTAGCAACCATCTCGTGTTGACCTTTGCCGCGCTTTGTTTAAAAAAACCTTGCAACAATTAATGTTCATCATTTTGTTCTCGATGTCGGCTCCGAAGGCCAGATTATGTCAGTCTCGATCTCCTTTCCCGGCCGTCGGTCAAACTTGTTTTTCGTAACAGTCGACTTGTTAAATAAAAACGAGTCAAAGGACCCGTTTTCAGTGATGCCGATTTCATATTGATGTTTTCGATGAAATGTTTACTAAAGAAGCATTCAGAATAACAATCTTGATTTATATTAAAATCATGACACAAACTGACTTTTTTTAGACAACATTATTTAAAATCATTTCGAATGTATGGCGCGCTTTCGTTACCAAGTCAAGTGTCAGATGGATTAGTGAGGGGACATAAGCATTCATATTTTAATAAGGCTAGAGTGTTTCGCCGATACACCGGCACAGTGTCGCTTTTCTTCCTAACAATTTTGATATTTATAGCTCAATTAATAAGATATATTTATGTCTACAAATGTCGTGAAGAAAGTTGTTATAAAGATGTATCGCCTTGATTAATAAAACGTCCATCGTAGTAGGGAAAATAGGTCTTGAATAAAGTTTTTAAACAATAAAACTTATCCGATATTGCAGACAGATATTGTAAGGAATATCTGTACATTGCTTTCATGGGACAATTAGCGATGCGGAAAGATAAGCGTGCGATAGTGCTGGCTGGAAGTTTACAGGCTTGATATGGAGGATTTGCGGCCGCGTAGCGTGACCAACACACGCGCAACCGGGTTACAGCTTAGGGCGCTGACACACGAATCAAATCTACAATAACAGTATTACATTTGTAAACAGTTTAAATAAGAGAGAGGATAATTTTCGTTGTAAGTGAAACACAATCGTAACAATTCATATTGACCAACATTTCATATATGTTTTCCAAACAGAATTTTCGTAAAATGAATTGAAATCTAGTTATGTATGTATTTCTTTAGTTTATTTATTAACTTGATGGTGAAATGATTCAATTTTATTTTACGATATATTTTAAAATGTAATTGCGTTGCGCTTATGATGAACTATCGCCCGCGACTTCGTCCACGCAGGATTAAGATAAAACTTAATAGGTATGTGTTCTTCCAGACTATGTTCTACATCTGTATCTTTCATCAATATCTGTTGAGCGGTTCCGAAGATATATTTAACATTCATCCATCCATTCAAACATGTCGAATTATGAGAAATATAGCTTTTTTATCTCCATACAACATAGTGTATAGTGTACATTAAGGTTGTATTGATTGTAAGTGGTAGTGCGAGATGGGACTTATTCTCGGAATCGTAAGCGGATCGCATCAAGGCACGATAACGATTAGAAACGGACGTGCCTATCGAAATATATGCCAACCACTAATTGAATGATTATCGTTTGAGAGATGATATTGACAATCTTAATTTTATTACAGTTTTATATCACGTATTAAACGATAAAATCATCTTTAAAACGAAGTACGTATGCTACAAAAGTAATATTTAATTGGTCAGTAGCTACATCAAAATAACAGCTCCGCCAATACTGCTTCAGCGCGGCAAAATAATTTGTGTGTTATTATACTACTAGCTGTCGCCCACGACTTCGTCCGCGCGAAATAAAAAAAAAATTAACTTATAGCATATGTGTTCTACCAGTGTATGTTCTACATGCATGCTAAATTTCATTGAGACCCGTTGAGCTGTTCTAAAGATACCTTCAAACAAACATCCATCCATCTAAACATTCGCATTTATAATATTATAATACTAAGATTGATGTGATAGGCAAATAAAGAAAGAAATCTTTGAGGATTTTTAATAATCTGATTATATAAGATTGACTTATTAATTTCCAGCTATTATTAGTTTTTTTCCCGTGTAGTTACCGGTCTGGCTACACACCATTACAGTTTTATCGTTGAATTTTGAGACACGCTGTATATGTAGAGCAAAGTATCGGAATAATTTTTTCCTGTTTTTATATAACATTATAAATAAACACTGAATAAAACACTTTAAATCTTGAAAAATATACGAAGTTTTAAACGCGTTTACAGATTTATTAAACTGTAATTAACATATTGGAATATTAAATTAAGATTGTTTAAAAATCTTGTCTTATTTATTATTATAGTCTTAACGCCATTAGCAACGCTGTCATGTTCTACATTTCACGTTTCGATATTGTTTTACCTTGCTACTTTGACATTTACAAACAAAAGAACTTTAAAGTCACTTTTCTGTAAACAAAATCAATAACAAAGATCATATCCGGATCAGTTTAAGACTCGGTAGCCTAGCAGCGGGAATTACAGATTGTTACGACACGGATCAAGGAGTCGAATCCTAATTAAAAACATATTAAACATGTACGGTGGTAAATAACATAAGTATTTGTAGTTTGAAATGAGTATGGAGATAAATTATAAAATTTCGTAAAACTAATTGTTGAAAAATGTATGCTTTAAGAATAATATAATAACATTTTAATTCCGAATAAAGACTAATTACGGAGCTTGAGTTAACAGAAACATAGTTTACTAGGAATTTGCTATGGAGATAATAGATGCACCGTGAGTTTCTGAGACTAATTTCCCCATCGAAATCAAAGAATTATCTTTGACTTGGACAGGGTCAATTTGTTTTATACAGAGACTTTGTTCTCAGAAACCTACATGTAATCAATTTCTTATAGCTAAAAAAATACTGAATAATGATTTGTGTTCTTGAGTATGTGAGACTCCGAAATGATTCTCATCTATACTAATTTCCACACTTTGTTTTCCTCCAGTGCCGATTACGTAAATCATTTAGAAATGTAGACGAGCGGCGAGCTGATTGTTTGCTACGAAACGTATACATACGCCGCAGAGAATGTAATTTAGATTAATTACCATCGCGCTGGTTTACTTTGCTATCAAATAAGACGTAA